TGGTCTTCCTGGGGGAAATATGTGAGATACTTGCAGAGGCATTATGAGGTAGCTAGCCAACTCCATACCCTAAGGGAGACATAAGAAAACCTTGACATAACCTATTTTTAACCATGCCTCTGGCGATTCTGCATTCAAGTTTATAGGTGAACATGTCAGGTAGTACATAGAAAAAAGCCAAAGACACACAGTATTAATCATAATTCTGTCCGAGCCCATTTTATTTTTTCAACATTTCTGATTTAAAATCTCATGACATTTCTTCAAGGTGAAATTCTTCTACCAGGCTTTGCAACAGGGTAAGACTATATTTACCTGAATTAAATATTGCTTACAGTAAAGCTCTCTAATGCTTCACAAGATAAGCAATAAACTCAACGCAGTTACTACTAAAATAATTTAAGTTTGTATGCAGCTCAAGAAGCTTTAGTGATTAGCAATACACTATTAATACAGCGTTTAAATAAGACTATCCTGGTATCGCTGGATAAGAACATTGTTCTGTAAGTGTATACGAACATCATAATTATTTTACAACCCCATTTTTAGTTCTTTGAGATATAGTAAATTCAATTGACCATGAAATGAAATTTCATAGTCAAAATGCCTCCTTTACATTTTTTTATTGCTGCAATAAAGTTTTTATAGCTCCAAGGCAAAGTAATTCATGAAATGTCTAATTTAAAGATGAATTCTAATACTATTAATAAATATTTAGTATTTTAATAAAGTGCATATTTTTCACATAAAATACGATTTTATGTTTTCGTTTTATATTTTTTAAATACAGAGTAATTGCTGGAAAATTTGAGTACTAAAGAGAGCTACGTGAGTTCAGGGGAAACCTAGGCAAGAACCCTCTGTTAATGTTTTTAAACTTCATGAAACTACCCAGCATTTATGAGCAGACTAGGAAACGACTACTAACTAGAACACAATGGCAGGGGCCACTCCATCTGACAGTATGAAACAAATCAAGCAGTCGTGGGGAAGTGTCTGACACACAAACCTCCCTATGTCGCTCCTCCACATCAAATCACACAATTCCTCATCAATTCTCTGCAGAAAAACTGCACACAAGTTCCCAATCCACAGCTTTGAACTGGCAATCACCCTAAAATATACCACTGGACTACTGGGGTAAGAAAGCAAGAGCTCCTTAACCTATATGGGAACAAATCCTTACCAACGGTGTCAGTGTAAACTGCGCCATTAATTTCTACAATGCACAGCTGAGCAAAGAGGCAAAGATGTAAAGCCTCCCATTCGGTGCAAGAAGAGGTGAGCAAGGAGATATCTCACCAGAAGGCCTTTTCGGGTTGGCACTGTCAAGGTGACAGCATTTACTCATGGAAGAATCACATTCAGGGAGAGGATGCAAAATTAACACGGCAAAACTGGGTCAGGTTACAAACCACTTGGTAACACTGACAGGATACTCGTACACGTAACACAACACCGATCCAGCCTACAATATTTATTATGTATTTCTGAGCATGTTTCATTGTCTTCAGGTTTCACAAGCTCCACTACTTTTGTTTTCAGGCACAACATTCCTGACTCTCAGGTTTTGTTAATCTGATCTTTCCTTAGAAGTCACCCTACAAGTCCAGCGCACACAGAATCCCATGCAAATGGGATCTAAAACAAATACTACATCCTTCAAGGCCTGATATAGGGGGACCCTGTTTTGGATCCACAGAATGACGGAATTCTGTACCTCCTCAGGAGTGGGCAGTTTGAGGTTCACTCTGCATTAGCGCTAGCTACCCTGCATGACCTCCAGAGAAATATTAAAATTTGCAATAAAGTCATCAGCCTGTACAATTACAGGGAAATATTTGCTGTGTGTTGGTTTGTAAATCTTTAACTAATTTTCACTTGCCAGAATAATAAAAAAGAAGATTTACATGAAATCACAACAGAACAACACGACCTTTATTATAGTCCAGCAGTAAATAATGTGTTTTCACTACACCAAGTTTAGCAAAAGGTCTTATATAAAATAGCTAATCAGAAAAAAATATGGTTGATGTAAAATATCTGTTCAAGCTAAACATTCACTCACTCTTCAAGATGCAATACAGCCACTAATTCTAATTGTAACCACTGAGTCTAGAATGCTGAGTAGGACAAACTGGCTCACAGCTGTGTCTCATCACTGGGAGTATGAATATTACTGCACAAAGCTCTCAGAAACCCACGATGGGGATCCCCCAAAGCTGAAAGGGAAACACAGGGAGAAAGTGGAAACTGCCCCGTGTACCCTCCCATGGAGATCACAGCCCTACAGTATGTTCAGGTTCTGGAGGAAACTTCATACATCCCTGGTTTTGATTGCTCTAATTAAAATTACAAAAAGCTAACAGTCCCATTCTGGAAGGCTCAAAAGCAGCCCAGGAATAGAATATCATCCTGCCCCAGCCTCTGTGGCCAACAAGAGAACTGGACAGAACAGTCTTTTTATGGTCCTGTATTTCTGAGTATGATCACGGCAATACATTCCTATCACTTTTGTTATGAGTTTAAAAAAAAAAAATCAATTTTCATTTATAAAGATTTAGTGAATAGAATATACAGAACATAGGGAAATACATGGTTTTTTCCTGCTGGCTGAATCTGTGTCCTGATCTCCTTCCGAGCTACTCTCAATACTGCATTTTCAAAATTTACTACTGGCTCTCAGATGTGGGTCCTACACTTCAAACATAGGCAAGAAACTCATTCTAAATGCTGTAGTTCACACTGGCCAACTCAGTGGCCTTTCAATTCTCGATGCCAGTGTCAACTGTATGGCACATTTTTGAATTTTCGGAGCACTTAGGATGCACACAATGCCAATGGATACAGACTTTCAAATCCATTCCCAAAACGAAAACTCTGTGTTTATAAAGCCTGACTGCTTCTTCACAGGAGATCCGTTCACTCAGAGTATAGCACTGCACTATACATTAACAACCACGTTTATCTTGCTGAATCCACCAATATTAAACCCTTAACCATTTGCCAACTGCCTTAGGGAACTGAGTAATAGCATATCATTGTTTGCTGTGTAACACTGACAACACGTGCCATCATTCACACACAACACGCCTGCACACGATGCAGAACACTGGCAAAGGCTTGGTCAGGCTCCCCAGAAATCACACACATCTTCTGAGAGGCCAAGGAAAACTGAGAGATGGCACAAATCTACATGTGACAGACAATATTAGGCAACAGGAACACACAAAGAACCGCACCTACCATATGCAATCCATTGCTGTGGATGACACCGTCTTGCTCCACGAGATTTCGGGATATTGTAATAGAGGGAAGATCCAAGCTCTGGGGGGGGAACTGAGGTGTAAACTCATTTCCTTGCGCAGGCAGCTGGTCACCAAGGCCCTGAAAGGGCAGCAGTATATCTGCCATCCCCAGTGCAGGGTCGGACTCGGGCGGGGGGGTAATGGGTGGGATTTCAAACTCCTCGTCCCCAAGGCTCGGCGTGTGGAACGTCTGCTAGAAAAGGACAGGACAAGGCAAACTGTGTTAGGGCACGCTGTGCTCAGCAATCACCTCCACACCCACAGTCCAAACCTTGGTTCGTTCTCAAATGCAAACTCTATAAGCAACAAAACTTTTTAAGTTTCATATGCTGAAGGGGTTTGTGGATCATTCCAACTAAAGATTTAAGTCTCATTATCATATGGTTTTAATGCAGTATCAGTATTAACAGTTTTTTAATGTGTATTTAATTAGCAACATCTGTCTGTTGTTAGTCCGAATATCAGCTACACTGGATTTGGCTGTATAACAAACTGCCACTTTATTGATATGTTAGGAAAATAGCACAAACAGCTTACATTACTCTCATGCTTCATAAAACACTGACAATTTTGTAGCACACATAGAACGTGAATTCAGCACTGACCATTTCACATCTTTTGTCTCTTTTTACCCAGTAACAAACATGAAATATTATCATCCTGGCCTTCATTTCTTTTCCATTCCCAAAATACAATGAACCCTTTTAAACATGGGTTGTAATTTGGAGGAGAAACGTATAAAAGCGTGAGGGTGATTACAGCAGCTTCCAGTGCTTTCTGAAGCAAGCCAGCTTTGTTTGAACAGTAGATTTGTTATGAACTAAACACCTGTTAAGATGCCTCGAGCAAAACATTTACTGCCAGTTATCTTCAGGGTTTGTGCATGTTTGTACGTGTGCATGTGTCTGTCAAAGATAATCTTTATTCAAGTAGAGTCTGTATCTGGCTTCAACATTGCTGACTTTTATTTGGGAAACAAGTGAGCTACGCTTATTCAAATTTTTTGAGAGTTAAATGAACTTTCATATATTATTTCAGGTCCACTGCTACTTAATAATAGAAATTCAAGTGCTTGAAATTAGGCCATTTTAAATGTACCGAAATCAGGACTGTCTTGATCAAATTGGGCAGTTGGCAATCCTAAAATAGGCACTCTTGTCTTGTTCTGGACATGCAAGGCTGCTCTGGGATTTGTTTGTTTGCATTAGTTCAGGATTCAAGTTGGGGGGGAAGAATTGTTTTATGTATTAATTACATTGTTTGAAAGAGTGACTTAATGCCAGTTAATTTAAAAATGATAAGTTCAGTGAAAGATCTCATTAACTGCTGCAAATTGTCATCCTTCAAACTGTTAATGATGATATAAATTAATAACCGCTTGAGAGAAGATGGAAACTGAAACACAAGAAAAACCTTTGCTTGCATATAGAACCTGTCAGCTGTCATTATTGGTCTCACACCAGAAATGATGAGGTCCCAGATTGCTGCAGTCTGCAGCACCGTCAGAGTCTGCTGAGACTCTGCCCATCTCGCTCCAACTGCAAGGCTGTAACTTAATTCTGGATGTGAAGGCTGGGCCTGGATTAGGGAGACATTTGACTTCCCCGCTGCTGTATTACAAAAGGTGTGAATTTTTCTTCCCATGGACCCTGTAGCTCACAAACACAAAGGACGGATTGGCCAGGAGAAGTGGTTGGCTAATGAACATAACCCTATGGCTGCATTTGCAGTTATTTTGGCACTAATGTGGTCTAGTAACAGATGCAACTGTAATTTGTGACTCATTTGCTACCCCATTACTGCTTAATGAAATCTAACATATCACATTAACAATACGGATAAACACTCATTCTTGATATGTGGCATTTGGCTGTTTTCATTACCACTGTAATTAACACTTGAAATATTATTTCAATAAATATTTAAGGTGCTTTAAAATGAGTCGTCGTAATCATGACATAGAGACAGAAAACACAAAGTAAATGAGTGGCTTCTAAGCCTGAATGTGCTCTAGGATTACACTCTTAAGGCATTATTTACAGGAATAAAATGGGCTTCTAACTCAGCAGTGCTCAGGCCCAAAATAATATCGAGAAAGCTACATTCATGTAATGTAAAACCACTATAATTAAATACATTGTAATGTGGTAATTGCAAAGTTAGGTTGACGCTTTAATGTGAACAGTAACACTTAATCATATTTTTATTCCTTGTTCAAGCAAAAGGGTTCAGTGAAATCAGTATTATTACAGTACATTTGAACTTCTCCTTACTCAACATATCTATGAGATATTAGTAATTATAAGGACTGGATCTTTTTTCCCCATCTAACATAATAACTCTAGGACAGCTGTATAAATATAGAACACAGCTAGATAATATTACAATATTTTACTCAGAAAAGTAGCATTCATCTTAATACTTATAGCTTATTACAAATGGGAGAGTAAATTGATGAAAACCTTAACATTTTTAAATGTGAATTTAATTTTAGCTATATAACTTGTCCAAATATGTATATATCTTTTTTTTAAAACATATAATGGACCTAAGAGTGAGGATAAAATAGCTGTAATCTAAGAAGAAAGCAAGCCTCTTAGCAAAATAGTCTTAAATCCAAATCACTGGGCTATTCAGTCTGTAAAAGGAGCCTGAATAGTGTGCAATTTGGGACTGCAGAAAGGTGCTGTTATGACCAAAAGATGGTATAACATTTATGAGATTTATCTCACCAATCACATTTTCTGAAGTTATTAACTTTTCAAATATTTATATCTTACATATTTAAAAAAAAAAAAACAAAACACAAAACTGTGTGCATGGTTAAATGCCATCTGTACTGAAATGTTCAAAACATTTGTTCCTTTTGATAAAAATGCAAATCTGGAGAACTGTTGTATCAACATATAACAGCCAATGTCTGACACGGTGAATTATCACAGCTGGAATTAAATTGTCTCTGAACAGCTGCTGGCAGCAGAGCTTTCATCAATGTTTGATTCAAATGTAGGAAAGAAATTCTACAGAAAGAAACATCATGTTGTCATTACAGATGGGGTTTGTGTTCATTATCACAAATAACACTGGAGCTAGTGCCAAACAATATTCCCTTATCTAAGCAGTCTTGCTGGGTAAAAAGAGATGGTGACCATTGTATAAATGATTCATAAAATCCTACTCTTAATTCTAACCTTTGTATTTTTTGTTACACCTTTCTGCTTATTTTCTCTGAGATCACTGTTTTAGAGGTGCACAGGAATACCTGTGACTGAATCCCCACTTACAACATGTAAAATCAGGGCTGCCCAGTTTTCCGACCTTTCCTTGTGCTGGGAGGATCATTTATGGTGTGCACCCCACATCAATAGTTCTTGTTCTCCATATTGCTATGCACGTAGCACACAGTGCATCTTGCACTTTCCATCCTTCCCCTGGGAGTAAGAGTTGCTGGGTTTTGGCCATGAGCAAAAGCTGTTTTGGCCTGGAGCTGGGATCAGTATTGGCGTGTTGATGGTCTATTAACTGGCTGTAAGGTGGCCCCACCCTAACAAATACACGGAGCCTGTGGCTGCCATACCTTTCTCCTGCTTCCTTTCTCAAAGGCAGTGATCAAATACAACCCTACACAACCCAGCCAGCCTCCACCAGCCCAGCCTCCAGGTTTGTTCTGGATCCTGGTCAGAAGTTTCCTCCGTGTAGCACATACACTTCAGGCAACAAAGCTGGCTCTGGTTTTCTAACTTCTATGAGTATTAAGAACCCAAATTAAAACATTTGTATCTATAACAAAAATTAGAACATTAGCTAGTAATGACTATTACTAAGCTTGCTTTCCAAGTGTACACCTACTGTGCTTTTTATTTGTTTCCTTCTGTTCATAATTTTTTTCCATACATAAAGCAGATTTGTTTCTATTGACATGCTATGTAAGTAACAGCCTTATGGACAGCTAAATTGACTAGTAATGGAGAGCTGTCAGGTTATTTTCTTTCTCATTAAAGTCTTTATTTTGTGCTCCATAAAACACGCAGAAATTCGGCACTTCACTCTTCATCCATTCAAAGTCTGTTAAATTATCACAGCAAACAGCAGAATATGAGCATAGATAAAAAATAAAAACATCTACCTCATTTGCAGCAAGAAATGCATTATTTGCCTCAGCCATGTTCATGTAGTTGTTATTGTTCCCAAACTGAAAGAAAAATAAATATTTGGATTTAAATGTATGCCATGATAAACTTTTCTTTACCCCATCACTGGCACATAAAGAGTTGGGGGAAAAAAACACAACAAAACAAAACAGCAAACAGATAAGATGTAATTTTGCAGATGTTCTTTGAAGTCAGAACTAGATTGGATTCAGCTTTATTCTTTTTACTATTATTATTACATACTCTGCATCTCCCATTCTGTACATGGAAAATAGTCACGTATCTCTTCAACTTTTTTTGTCCATGCATCAAAGCCACCCCACAGGCCTAGAGGTGACTTTGGAAATTACGACTCTGTTAGAAAAAGACTATTCTCCAGGAAAGTCACTTCTACTCTGCTATACCTTTCGTGACACACATTACAATATTGCTGTCGATGATCCTGATCTGGAGGACTGCTGCAGTCAGAAGTGGCTGGCATATTACTATTCCAAGTAGACCTGGTTTTAAAGAGCTGAAGGCCAATAAGGGGAAGAATGAGAATCCATGATGTTGTTCCTAAAATCCCATTCTTTCCACGAAATTAAAAAGCCAAACAATCCCCCTTTGTTTATCCTTCATTCCAGTTGAGCTCACATGCCCCCAGTGAACATTAACACCTGAAGATTTTGGAAATCCGAGAAAGTGTCTGACACTGAGACCCTGAGATCTGCCCAGGGTGGAGTGGCCCAGTGCCCACTTGCTCTCACTGAAGTGCAAATCTGCTCACGTGCCAGGGATCGGCAGGGATTTTAGCGGATGCCATGGAGTCATTTCTTCCATATTCTCAAGCATGAACATTTGTTCAAGTACTTTTTCTTCTAAGCACAGAAGAAAAGACTTTTTCAGACTAAGCACAGAAAAGAGAGAGATTATCAGCATAATACTGCACCTTATGCCCTTCAGCAGCACTTCCAAAGGCATGTAGGCTGGTAACTAGTTCTGCCTGTGTTCCCGGAGCAGGCAGATATCCAGAGTCTTTGCTTCAAGGAACAGACACCAGGTCTGCATTGCAGCTACCAGTAAAAGAGACTTTCACGTGTGCACATTGTTTTTACCAGGCACAGAGCACACTGCAAGGTAAGAGGGCTGAGGGAAAAGCTCCCGTGCTGTCCCTACCACATCATTGCTGCTAAAGCCACACTAAGCATTCCTCACTTAACTCCCATTTTTGAGTTTTATAAAGCATTTTTTTTTCAGGAAGGCTTTGTTTTATCTTGCCAATCTTGGTGGACCTGCCCCCTCCTCAACCCCACAACAGCAAACACACCTAACAGCAGAATAAGCTCTGCAACCAGTGCATGAGGATGGGTAACCATGCACTTGCACAGATTGTTCTTTCCAAGCAAGAAAATCTACTTTGCTTTCAGAGTAGCCAAATCTCTCCTGAAAGGAAAACCACTTTGCTTCAGCTCAATTTGCTACAGCTGCACTTGGTTCTGATGGTTTTTAGTTGGGAAATGTTTCAGATCCTGACTCTCCAGCTCCTTACAAAAAGGAAGATACACACAAAGAATTGGATCCTTGTGTACCTGCTGAATTGTCATATTGACAACACATGACATCAACAAAATTAGAAGACAATCATGGGCATGGGGAAGGAATACAAGATGGGATCCCTCATTCTCAAGTAACAAGTTTCATTTGTGTACTTATCATACTGAATCTTTCAACCTATAACACATGTTCAGCAACAGAGGCCTTAACACAATATGTAGGCTGCCTCATAGCTATTAAAACTCTGTTATCCCCAGCTATGCAGATACTCAAGTAATGTCATCCACTTTTAAAAGCCCAGATGTCACCCATGTTCAGAGATTAAAAAATTCAAGTAAAACTGCACATTCAAATGACTGTTTTGGCACATAGAGATGTGTGTGTGTGGATTTGTTGCACAAAGACACAGCACTTCAGCTCAACAGTGCGATCGACAGGAGAGAATTTTTCATGTCAGTTAGTGGCAAACTAAGAAGGATTTACATAAAAAACCTCAAATGGCTCAAATAGAGCTGTTCTCTCTACAGGAACAAAAAACAACAACAAAAAAATCAACTTTTCAGAGGACACCTAAGTGCAAAGGTGCGATAGGCAAGTACAACTAGAACATAAATAAGTGGGGAAAACCCCCATCCTACATGTGTTGCTCACACCACAGCTACTGCTGTTCTGATTGCCATGTGGTTTTATTCCTTTTTGTTTTATTAAAGTAAAACAAAGGGGAGAGTGACAACTTAATTTTCTGTTTTATTAAGACTGGAAGCAAATTATGTAACAAGGAATGTCAAAGCTAAAAGTTACAGGTACACCCTTCAAGTCATTCTGCTCTTGGGCTATAATATTTATGACTATATTGTGTATGACCCAGGCACTGATGACAGAAACTGGAATATTTCAGCTTTTGTTCATATGGATCAAAACTAATATTCTTTACATTTATTTTTTGTCTCTGAATTGGAAATCCATTGAAGGCACACAACAATTATCAGTGAGTATTTCTAAGATTAAACTTCCTTATTATCTAATGGTACCTATAACAACAAAAGAAAATAAAATGGTTATTATCTTAAGGACCTAAACAATTCAAAAAAACAAATTAAGCTTAGAGTGAAATAAGAACTGGGTTAGAAATCCTCTTCTGAACAGTTAGTCTGCGAATGTAATTACTGAAGAAACTACAGCTAATCAGCTGTGAATTGTATCCATTAATTAGTATTTGCCCTGGAGAAATGAGAAAAATCAGTAACAATGTTAACACTGCAATGCACTGATGAGTACTGAAACACAGGGCCCTCAGCATTTAGTCAAGCAGGTGGCTCCAATGGTCCAAGTAATTTAAAAAGCTCTCACCTGAAGTGCAGAGCTGGAATTACAAAGCACTTCTTGCATATCTTTGTATCTATATAAGGCTATAATTAATGGCTTTTAATTTAGAAACACTTTGTGATCAGTTGGGAACAGTTATAAATCATTCTAAATAGAACAAGGGGTTCTTGTCTATTTTAGTAAAATAATTTTTTGTGAAATGACTCTTGTTGCAGTCAACATTTTTTTCCATTTACTTTCAAAAGGATCCCCTGCTCAGACCCCTTATAAACATCTCAGAGCATTGCTATAATTGTCAGCAGGGATTCAAATCAAAGCAATTTGGTCTGCCCAGGTAGATTTGTGAAGGCTCCCACCTCTTGGGTTTCCCTGGGATAGAAGAAAAGTAAGATACAACACTTGGTCCAGCTATCTTTTTTTTTTTTTTTTTTTTTTTTTTTTTTTTTTTTTTTTTTTTTTTTTTTTTTTTTTTTTTTTTTTTTTTTTTTTTTTTTTTTTTTTTTTTTTTTTTTTTTTTTTTTTTTTTTTTTTTTTTTTTTTTTTTTTTTTTTTTGTGCTGGTGTTGGGATGCTTTGTTACTTAGAGTAATTGGGTTTTGCATAAACTTTTTCATCTAAAGATATCAGAGCACCCTTGCTCTGTAACTATGAAAGAATAAGATGTTTTCAGCTTGCTTTGGCAAAACACACCATTGTATTACAAACTATGATTCGTTTCCTTTGATTTCAGTTCAAACTCCACCTTCAGTGCTGATGAACACAATGAGTCCCCCAACTGGCTGCCACCGCAAACCAAAGGAAACCACAGGCATATGCCTGTTTCGTGAAACAAAAACAAACAAACAAAACCTGTCCTGAACTTGCTGTGAATCACAGCTTCCATTCCTCAGGCAAATCACTGCATTAAAACTTTGGCAGTTCAGGACTTCACTCTTGCATGTTGCAAGGGCACTTGGATCCGGGCCCTGCTGGAATCTGTATGAACAGACACGAGGACTGTAATGAGAGCAACTGGATGCTGCTTTGTAACACCTTGTATAAAGCATTTCGAGAAATCTGATTCTTTCTAAAACAGCTGGTTGAAGCTCTCCTCTCAGCTTTGGCCACCAAACCTGAAGCCCAACATCCAGCCTTATCCAGCTTTTCTAGGAAAGGTGTATCTTTGCAATGCTAGGGGAAAATTCATGCCCTCTATTCCTTCCTCAGCATATGCTCTAACGAAGACCAAATCAACTCCTACCCAGCACTGGGGATATAAAAACTGTATCACTGCTACAAAACTGCATGTTTTCACAGACCAAACCTCTGGGGCTAGATGTTAGGATATCTGTTTCTAAATCAAGGGATAAGCAACTTGGAATCTGCACAGCACAACACTGCTTGGGTTTTCAAACTCCCCTTTGTACTCACAAGAGCTTAAAAATTGGTTGGTTATAAAAGCTGAGACTAATGAGCAGTTGTTTTAAGGCAGAAGTCTGATATGATGAACGTCACAGAAAACCTTGGCAGTTTGGCATAAGAATCAGTGATTAAATGTCCACTGAGCCTGAATTCCTACTAAAAAGATCTTCAGAAAATCTCAAATGTTAAATTGTGGACACTCCAGTGGCTCTTCTTTGGCAACTGTGTTCGACTCTTCACAGCAAGAAACAAAACAATCAAAAGAGAAGTTTACGCCAAAAGAAAACCACAATAGTAAAAAAAGAGAAATCTTCAAAAGTAAAGCAAATAACTAAATTTGAAGGTCTTATGGACAAAGATTAACATTTTGAATGTATAAAAGTTAATGGGAGTTTTACTACTGATTTTATTGGACTAATGATTTTACTTACATCAGTATTTTTTACCAACTTTCTGCATTTCTGTTTTTAAATCAACTCAATTGTGGTACAGCTCTAATCTGAAAAACATTAGAATTCAAGCACGACTATTTATGTCCTCAAGAGGCCAAATAGAGAAATACATAAGTAACTTAAAACCAGACATGAAGAAGCCCTGACTTTTATCTGAGCATCTCAATAGAGCAAAAATGAATGTTTGAAATACTAGTATTTTTATGCTCAAAAAGAAAATTTAATTCAGCAGGCAAATTCATTAGATATTCTAAATAATTCATTTTATAATATTGCTGTTTCATAGTGCAATCTCAAGGAAGAAGAACCCATTGGAAGGGTTATTGT